CTATCAGAATTTAGAATTGCCGTTTGAAAGATTTATTTTCATACTAACTGTATTTTGAAAAAAGTAGGAAAGTAATGATTTTTTTAGTTTTTGTTAACTATGGTTATATTCGCTGCAGTCAAATTATTGTTCAATAAATGAATGCAAGCCAATCTGTAAATACATACAATGATAGAGAATTTCAAGCTGTATCAGAATATATATTTACTTTCCTAAAAATATATTTCTATAGGGTGTAGGTGTGGATGTGAGTTATCCCTTCATCAAGTCCACTTCCATACTCACATCCACCCATACCTACCCACGTCTACACCCCACCCACACACCCCATACCCTATCCATGGTCAAAAGTGTTATGAATATGTATTGTATTACAAATGTTTGTTGAATTTTTTGTTTTAGATTTTGCAGCTATCGGAAACATTGTAAAAATAGAGTACTGCTAGTAAAAATATATTAAAAAATGATTCGTCGTGATTGTGGTCTTGTATATCCTGCATCTTCTATTTTTATTAAATGATGTAATACGTACACTTTTATAATATTTATTATTCATAGTATTATACTTTTCTTTTGTGAAAGAAGAACTTTATTTCCAATAATGAAATGCTATTGTTTACCATGAGATTTTTTCTCCAACTCCATCATCTGCTAATGTAATCGTCGTTATTCATATCATCAATGCTGGCATCGAGCCACACCAGTAAGAAGTTCTGAAATATACAAGCATAAGGAGGATATCGTGGTCTTATGCTCGTATATTCAGATGTGATGCCAGCAGCGGCAGCAGTTGTTATTAGTGTTGTTATCGACTTTTTCTTTTTGTTTATTGTGTTTGTTGTAGTTTATTAATGAAAAACGAATATAATAAAATAACTTGAATTTATTTAGTATATTGGAATTTTTTTGTTGATGTTTCTATTTGTCTTCAATTGTTATCATCGTTCAAGCTCTTTTTTCTTTTCATTTTTCTTGAATTCTTCACTATCTTTTTTACTCTGTTGTTATCCGTCGTGTTACAAGACAAGAAACATGCGAAAAAAAGGATACATTGCACCATGAATTCATACACTGAATCACATTTCATTCTCATTTTATAATGTCTGGAAGTTTTTTCTCTTTTCTTGTCCAGCGGCATCAAACTTGAAAGTTGAGTTCAATTGAACAACTACTATTCAAGTTTTAACTTTCAAGTTTGACACATATGGACTGATGTTAAAAACTTGCTCTCTGTGCATCGATATAGTATCGTTCATAAAGTTCGTTTTGATTTCTTATCATTCTCTTAGATGACTACTGAGAATTATCTAAGAAACTAAGCGAGGCTAAAAATATGACTTGACATTAGTGTTTCTTTATGTTATTCGTATGAAAAAAAAACTTCAAATAAGGTCCTGCCATTAACATAAATATCAGCCTATCCAACTGAGCCAAGGCGAAGATGTTTCAAATTTTTTGACGGTCGTGTTATTTTGTGACTCATCCTTTAGAATAAAAACATCCGACTTTCGATCTTGCAGATTATGTAATTGAATATGAAACGTATCATATATTTTAGATCATAGAAGAAAGTCGTGCCTGCATTTTTATTTTTGAATAAGTTATCTGTTACATATTCATATTATCACACAATTTTACCCGCGAAACTTAATGAAATATGTCGGAACACTAGTGTAAATATATGCATTTTACATAGAGAAGAATGACAAGCTACAAAACTATCGGAAAGATAATAGTTTTCAATAGTATCTGATAGTTACATGTTTCCCATAAAAAAGTTTCTTAAATTTTATTTCAGTCTACTTTAAGAATGTTTTTAGCAATGTATGAGTCAATGTTCTATACTTTCTTTTCTTGCTTTTAGGAGTGAGCTAAGCGAAGCTCATGGAGCTGACGTGTTGCCTATTTTGAATGAAACAAAATGGTTTGTATTGAACAATACAATTATTTGTCATCAATTTGTTACGCATATAAAAAGTATTAGAACGACTAAAACATCAATATTTTTGCAGTGATCATTAGAAAAAGAATGGGTTATATTAGTTCGTGTAGAAATAGTTTTTCATTCGTTTTGTATGAAACACATTATTGATGGAAATATTTTTCTCTAAAGACAAAAGCAAGCTTTGTTTTTAATCTAATTAAATAACAATGAAACAATCAAAACGAAAGAAAAAAACGGAGAACGATTCAACCGTACAAGTATTGAAACTAATATCTGTGAGACTTTTCAAAGGATGCAATAAAAATGAACAAATGTATTCCGTGATATCAGTTTTATTGAAAACAAATGAACAAAAAATTTAGATAATCAGAGTCACTGTTGTCGTCCATTCCGTTGAATCATTTCCATTGGTATTTTTTTCAGTTTTTTATCTAAAAAATAATACAATCAATCGTACAAAATCTATCTATAAATAACTTTTCATCTCTTACTCGTAATGCTAGTGCTTTTCATTTTATACCGCTACTACCATCTTCTGCTGATGATACTGTTGTTCTTCGTACTCTTGAATCATTAGCACGTAAACAACGAAAGTCTAAAAACATAGAAAAATTTGATCATTACAAGTAAATAAACTAAAACTTACTGGGATATAAACCTGATAGATCATCATCATCACGCATCATTCGCTTAACATTTTTTCCCTAGGTGAAGAATTTATTCAATAATTATTAAAACATTAAAATACTTACAAAGAATATAACCATGTTTAAATCTTTTTCCTTGAATATGTCTCATGATATGATGTGGTTCTTTATTTAAATAATGCCATGTTAATTCATAAAATAATTGTCTCCTTTTTTACATATTTATTTTTGAATTAATTCTAATATAGAAAATCACACATACTCATGATGTTTTTTTTTGTACTTCATTCAAGAAATTCTTTAAATTTGTTCAAATAATCATTATCAAGTTTTTCTCTTTAATAATTCTTGATATTTTTTGCCATTAATATATTTTTCAATAGCATCAATACGAGCTGGCATTTCATGTTGAGTCCAATTACATTTTATCTACGAGAAAAAAAACGACGTTGTAATGATGGATAAATTTTTAATAAAGAATCTACATTAATAATTGAATTTATATCAACTTCCATCTAGAAAGAAGAACGCAAATGAAATCGAAGAACTATATTTATTTGAAAAAAAAAGAAAAAAGATTTATTTTTTCTTAAGTTTTTCCGTAAGTTCAGGTAAAATTTTAAATAAATCACCAGTAAGTCCATAATCAGCTATACTGAATATTGGTGCATCTCCGTCTTTATTAATAGCAACGATAACTTTACTATCTTTCATACCAGCAATATGTTGTATAGCACCTGATATACCAATGGCAATATAAAGTTCAGGTGCAACAATTTTGCCTGTTTGACCAATTTGTAAATCATTTGGACAATAACCAGCATCAACAGCTGCTCGTGAAGCACCAACAGTTGCTTGACCAGGAAATAGATCCGCTAAATCATAAAGTAATTTGAAATTTTCTTTACTTTTAAGTGCACGACCTCCGGAAAATATCTATAAATGAAATAAAATTATTAAAAAAAACAAAAAATATAAATTTCGAATGTACATATACATACAATTCGAGCACTAGGTAATTCTGGTCGTTCTGATTGTTGAACTTGTCGTGTAACAAATTCTGATAGATCATTTTTTACTGATGAATCAAGTTTTTCAACTTTGACGTCTCCACTTCCTGTAGCTGGTTTAGCTGCTTCAAATGCTGTACCACGTACAGTTAGTATTTTAATTGGATCATTTGATTTAAGTTTAAGTATAGCATTACCAGCATAAATTAAACGCATAAATTGATCTTTATCAATTACTTTTGTTATATCCGATATAGGTTGTACATCAAGTAAAGCAGCTAAACGTGGTAAAATACTTTTAGTAAATGTTGATGAACCACCAAGAATATGTGTATAATTATTTTTCTTTTGTAAATCAAGTAAAGCTGGTGTTACAGATTCACTAAGTAAATCTTTAAATGCAGCATTTTCAGCAACAAAAATTCTTTTTATATTTAAATTATTAAATTTTTGTAATTCATTAGCAGTTTCATTTGTCTTTTCAGAACCAAAAATAACACAATCAACATCTTGTTTTAATTGACTGGCAGCAGTTAATCTGAAAATATGAAAAAAAATATATATATTAGAAAATAATCTAAATAAAAATCAATGGCAAACATACGTATTTAGAGTGACTGGTGCAAGTTTACCATTATCGACCTGTTCAGCAAGTACAAGAGTACCAGCAAAGCAACGGGAATGAATTGTCGATGTTGCTAAACGATTTAGAAAATGCCGAGAATGTAACATCATCTAAAACAAGATTATAATCTTATACTTTTTAAACATTAGAAACAAAAAAAAAGCTTTTTCATAAATCGTTTTATTTTTTTTTTCATTTTATATATATCTAAATGACTATCGTCGTATCTAAATAATGCAACTATCGCCAATATTGAATATATCTTTGATTGGATAAATTCCATCAGAAAATCTTGATGACGAAACTAATTAGCTAAACATTATTGAACTAAAGAATTTTGATAATTGATATTAATTGCTATTAAACGAATATATAATTAATTTGTCTAGATTTCCAACAATTCACAAATATCAATACGTATAGTTAATCAAGGACTACAAAGAACAATTATATCCAAGAAACATCAAACAACAGTCGCTGAAATCAATGATATTCTCGTGTAATCTTCATTACAAACAACAGATCAACAACTCAATTACAACAATTACTGATACAGATGATCTAGTTTTTGTTTAATAAAAAACCGACAGATTTGAAGAATCAATTAAGAGACATTTATTAACAATTCAAATATTAGAACTATTATTATATATTTAAAAAAAAGAAATGAAATTAGTGTGCAATATTTACAAATTAAGAATAAACTTTTGAGTAATTTTGTTTTCTTGTAACTATGAGTTACTCTTTTCTGATCTATATCTCATAATAAAAATATGGTTAATGTTTTTACACTTCGTTCTCATTATCCTCGTTATGAATCGTATCGTTCACAATGTTTACCTTTACAATTAAAAACTTTCAATTCATTGAATTCTAAACAAAATCAACTATATCAGATAGTTAACAATTTTTCTTCTTCAAAATTTGATAATTCTAAAATACAAATATTATTCAAAAGCAATCAAAGACATTCTTACTCGCTCTTATTTACTACATATATACATGATTATCGACCATGGTCACACGCAAAAAAAAACCTATCGCGAAAGCAAAGCTTTGTGACATATGATAAAGTAGCTGAATCTAGTGTACCAGAATTAGCTGCATTGCCTATAACATCAAAACGATATTCATTATCGAATGTAACATTACCTATACCAATACGATGTTGTTGTAGACATTCAAAACAATGGCGAGATCAATGTTTAACGCAAACACAAATTAACTATTGGAAAAATTTATCTTGTTGTGTTGTTATACATGAACAAGAAATTAATAGATGCAACTAATAAAAATAACAAAATCAGTACAGATAAATATATATATATGACTGATAATTATAAAAATGAATATTATGACACATGATTGGTGGATTGTCTTTGTTCTTTGATCTACAGATGTCGTATCTAGATAGCAATAGACAAACCGATGTTATTATACTTTATCATCTGAAAAACGAAGAGTTATCAAAAACAAAAAAAAATAATATCAATTCCTTTCATCCGATCTAAAGTGATGTAAGCATATCTAGAACAAAGCTCATAATCAAATTTTTATTCCAAATAAAACTGTCAGTTATTATATAATGTTTATGTTTTTAAAATAAATGTATTAAAATCAAAACGAAAGTTATTAGAGATGGTGAACTAATGCTTATAAATGCTCTATTAGGTGACGTCGAGGTTGTTGTTGATGAAGGTGGATTCGAGGTTGTTGTTGATGAAGGTGAATTTGAGGTTGTTGTTGATGGAAGATCTATTCTTGCCGTACGAGAACGCAATGCATTTAAAGCTGCCTCATCGCCTGAAAGTAATGGTTCTAAAACTTGTGCCACTTTTGTATGATATTGATTAATAGTGTTTAACTGTGCATTTGTTAATAATGTAACATCAATCAATGAACGTTCGTATGGTAAAAGTGTAATTGTACTAAAACGTAGATATTGTGTATTGTCATATGTACTCTTGTTTGCTAATACAACTTCAATATCATCTTCTATACGAATACCAAAGTCATCTGGTTTATAAAATCCAGGTTCATTAGAAATAAACATTTCATCAGCTAATGCTTCTTCATATTGACTGTAGGCAGATGCAATGCGTTGTGGACCTTCATGTACACTCAAAAAATGACCAATACCATGACTATAAAAGAAAAAAAACCAGTTGTTAGCGTAACCTCTTTGGAACTGAAAAAGGTGGAACTCACATGTCTTCTTTAGGTTCACTATTCTAATACAAAATACACAAAATATAAACTCTTAACAAGACGATAGTTCTTTTCCAACGATAATCAATTGTGAGCAAACATTATGTCTTTTTTATTTCTACATTTCGAATAGAAATTTTGTTTTCTTTTTTTTTACACGCTTTTGTGTTGGTCATAGGACAGTTGTAGAAAATTAAAACATCGTCCTTGAATATATATCATACAATCGTTTATCTGTGCAAAAAAATCAAAAACTTCGTCAGAACCTCGCTACTGATGTCGTTTAGCATATTTAATCCCGGTTGTTAAGATCTATAAATGAGAGAGGAGAACCGCAAAACTTCAACTTAAAACTTCCACTCATAATTTTCTTCAAAAATAGATGTGAGTTTCACAATGATATAAAAAATTCAAAGATAGTACGTTAATGAAACAATAAAATTATACAAACCCTATTCCATGTCCAAAGGTCATGCCATCTCTATACAAATGCATACGACCAAGATGATCAAGTGATCGACCATATGTTCCAGTAGGAAAAACAGCATCAGCAATATCAAGTACACCTTGAAGTACACGTGTATAAGCACGTTTTTCTAGATTTTTTGGACTGCCAAAATGATGTGTTCGTGTTATATCTGTTGTACAATCAAGATATTGACTACCAGCCTAGAGTACAAGTCCTTTTGTTTTTATTTAAAAAAAATATAGATCAAATATTGACACTTACATCAAGTAAATAAACTTCATTTTTAGTAATTAATCGAGCCGTATCTGGCGTTGCTGAATAGTGAATTATAGCTGCTCGATCACCCGATGCTGATATAGTTCGAAAACTTGGAAATTGAAATATAACTTGTTGTTTTTGATAAACAAGTAATTGTTCAGATGATTGTGTTTCATTGACAGATTTTCCATCATTCAATTGTTGTTCAAGCCATCCAAGATGTTTCATACGAGCAATGGAATCACGTATTTGACAATCTTGCATTCCTTTTCGTTCTATTGGATTTTTTCTTGCTTTTATACGTTGTACAGGTGAATTTGATAATGGCAATAAGAGTTTATTATTAGGTATCAAACTTAATATAGCTTGTGATACTTCAGCACTCACCCAAATTCTACTAATATTTGTATCGGTAGCTGTTATATTTAAACGTGACCAAAACATGGAATAATCAAATAGACGAACACCCGGAGGATGTTGATTAGTATTGAGTTGTGATAAATTAACAAACAACTCAGGTTGATTAACTTCATAATTAGTATGTACTATAGCATATGATTTAAAAAAAGGATTATATGGAATGTCAGAACCACGTAAATTGAATAGCCATGCAATTTCATCTAGAGCACTTATAACAGTTGTTGTTGCACCACGTCGTTTAATTTCATTTGTTGTACGATTTAATTTTTGAGCGACGGTCTCTCCTGCATATTGAATTTCATGAGTAACAATTGAATTTTGTGATTGATTTGGTCGTTCACCAGCTGGCCAAATACGATCGACTAGATCATTAACGGGACGAAGTTCTTTTCCAATTTCTTTTAATGCAGTATTAGCAGATGTCCACCATGATGTTGTAGTGAATACAGTTGTAGTACCTGGTGGCTAATAAAGATAAGAATTGAAATAAATATATATTAAATACATTTAACAAATAATATCAAATATGAAATCTTACTAATGCTGTTTGATTTGCCTCGGAAACTAACCAATTAATAAGAGTTGGTACACCGGGATTTCTATCTCTCATCAAAAGCCAATTTGCACAATCAAGTTGTTCTTCAGCTTGAGTAAAATATCGGCTATCTGTCCATAATGCTGCTGTTCGCAAAGAAACGACTGCTATTCCTGCTGAACCACTAAATCCTGTAATCCAATCACGACGTCTATCATACAGTTGTGTATATTCACTACCGTGTTCATCATCAGAAAAAACAACATATATACCAATACCTTCATTTTGCATTTCTCGACGAAGATTACTTAAAATCGTTGATGTATTCTTTTGTATTGAATTTGGTGTACATGTATTCTGATCGGCTCCATTGACGAATGAACTACTGAATATTATTAGAATTAATATGAAGACAAACATATTTGAAAATCGACTCTAAAGGAAAAGAAATAGCTGATGTTATTATTGTTGTCGTAAAGAACAATAATAATAATAGAAGTTTTAGAGAAAATAATGATTTTTTTTTTTGTTTTATGACTTAATTGCTTTTGATATCGAATAGGTAGATGATTTGTTAGAGTAATATATATAGTCTTGTTTTTCTTTTTAGCATTTTACGTGAGGACATGCTTTACGATCGATGCAGCAGATAAAAAAAAGTCGTCATCAATAAGTTTATAGCAAATAATCATGATCTACTATAATCTTCATTCGATTGTAGACATTAGTTTTATCATTGAAGGTTCTTATAATGAGCATAAATTATTTTTTTTTCTAAAGCATTATTGTAGATAAGAAAGGAAAAAAAAGGATGTAGAACGAAAACATTTAGATTTACCTAGCTAATATCGAAATCTTCTACGGTCTTCTGATAATTCTAATATTTGAAATTATTAACATGGAAAATAGAAACCTAAACAATCAATCTCTAAAACGAAGATGATACTACCAGACTATTGGTAAGGAACAGTGAGTGTGTATGTTCTCTTTACTTTTACCCACCCACATATTGAATCCTTTATCATCAATTATAAATAATAATTTGTATTATTTCGATGTTTGAATAAGTCAACATACCTATCTTTTGACATTTTAAGCTATCATCATCTTCTTTTTCGACATTTCGATGTGTGGCATTTTGACTTCCGGCATTTTTCTCATACTTTGTTTTTCGATCAAAGTAGGATTTACGAAAATTTATATATACAAGACAATTCTTGAGATGAATTAATTGAATAAACCATATAGAATCTTATTTCCACCTATGTAACTATCAAATATTTTCATATAAATAATCAATATAAATCTTCTATTAATAAATGATTAATAAGTTTCAAAGAATTCTTGATAATGTACATGACTATAAACTCAACAGATAAGAGTTAAATCTAAACGCAGAATTTTTATTGTCATCACCACAGATAAAAATTCAATCTATACAGACTTGTCGTATTAGATAATCATTCGATTTTATATTCGAGACATCTATCGATTACATTATATTTCTAACTATGTGTTCCTAGGTTTTTTTATAAATAAAATAACTTGCAAACATGTAAGTATTTAACAATCATGGATTAAAGTATTGTTGCTAAGTAGAATAATAAACAAACATGACTAATTGTTATAACAAACTTTGATTAATCTATCAACTGTATCAATATATGAATATCAAAATTTTAAGGACAAACTATAATCTGTCAACATCACCTTTAGAATATATATTCATTGATACAGTCGCTAAGCTAATTAAGGATATAGTTAAATATAATTATATTGATTCCAAACAATAGAAGATTTAAACTTTCGAGAAAAAATTATCTTTGCATCATTATACATAATTATTCAGTTTTAAATAAACTAAACAAGTATTTCATTTCTAATTGATAAAATATTTTATTTGATGATCAACAAACACATACATATATTGTTCTTATTTATTTTTCTCTTTTCATTTACTTATCCATCTCTTGTCAAATATATATATATATATATATAATGTATATACAAAAAAAAATTGTTTTTATTATAGAATACAAATGTCTATGTTGGTTGTTGATCTTCTAAAAACATTCGGAATTAACCCATTCATTTTCTTTAATAAATTTTTCAACTATTTCTTTAAGTACAAGATTATTAACAAGTTGTTCGACGACAAGTGGTTTATTAGCAATTGGATCAAGATGACTAACTTTATAGAGATTTTCTTCAATACATGATCGGCAATAAGTAATACCAACTAAACAAAAAAAAAACAAAGTAGATAAAATATTTTATTTTTGTTTTTTTTTTATTTACATGGTGTAATAACTGGATCTCTCATAAGATCATAGCAAAGTTTACATGTTAAATATTCAGGTATTTCACGTCGTTTTCTTCTTATATCAACTTCATTAAAT